GGGGGCGTGCTCTCGCTGGTTTGCCACCGCCCAAGAGCCGCCTCCGGGCTTTACCTTTGGGGGCGGCCGCTCCCACAGTTCCTCGCTTGCAATTGGACGCCTGGGTGCTTCCAGCCCCAGCAAAAGAAAAAACCCCAGCGGAGGGTGGAGCGGTGCCCTTANCCCCCCGTGCCGCCCACTCGGGAGCTAAATAGGCTGCGTTCCTCTCGGAATGCGCGCAGAACCTGGGTAGTAGTGACGACTCCCGCGTTCGCTCCCCGAGCCTACTCGCCAGCCCACAGCCCTCCACCGCTGCACCGCCAAACCGTCCCTCCCCCGTGCCAGGTGAGCGCTCTTCGCCACGTGCGAAGGTCAGGGACCACGGAGGGACCCTGGGGGCCGTCGCGGGGCTGTCAGAGGCCGCCGCACCCACTCCTCCACCACCATGACCACCACACACACGCAAGCTCCCAGCCCGGGCTCCCCAGCCCTCTCCAGCTGGAGCTCCCTCGGTTTCCTGCGCAATGCCGCGGCTCTGCGCGCTGAGTCATGGCGGGGGAGGAAGCAGGACGTGATGAAGGGCCATTCCCCCTCCCTTTTCTTGCCGGGACCCCTGGTGCAAAGGATTATGGCCCCTTTGCCTCTGCAGGGATCCTAAGAGGCAGCGAGGGGTGGGGGCCAGCTCATATTCTGCTTCAGGGTTCCCGAAAGCGGGTGGTTGGCCCCTGCCCTGGGAGACAGGCACCCCTGGCGAGGAGGGGCAACCGCTAGCAGCGCCTGTTGCCCTATTAACACTTTCCCTGTCTTTTCTTATCGGGTGACCTTGATTCTGAGCCTGGAACAGCTGCAGCCCCGCGAGCAAACAGGAGCGTTTTTCAGGGGAAGGGGTGGGGCGCTGGCCTCTCCTCCACACTCTTACCCTGCATGAGCAGTGAGATGGGCAAAACTCACCCCTTTCCTCCGCCTGGGCTGGGCTCCCTCTGCTGCCCTTTCCTAGGCTTCTGATTTCCTCCTACCGTTTTCTCAACACCCTTTTCCTAATGTCCTCTCCCACCCTGGGGGGAGAAACCTGACCTTGGGATGTCCTTGAGGCCTTCCCAGGGACTGGGATCTTGGATGGATTGGAAGGAACACCCTGTGGCAGTCAGAAGATCTGGGTTCTAATCTCAGATCTGGCCCTTGGGTTGCTGTGTGACTTGAATTACAGACCTTTCCCTTCTCTGGGTCCTTTTAGATGAGGGAACAGTTGGGCCCTCTGCCTTATGCACGACCTCAAAATTCTAAAATACTGCGGTTCGATTTTGCTTCTAGGCAAGGTGACCCCATGGCAAGGCGCAAGCCAGAAGGGTCCAGCTTCTACATGAGCCACCTGTCCATGGCTCTGGCCTATTCCTTTACCCCAGATGCCAGTATGCAACCCCATCCTCAGCTGGGCAACACCCAGCAACAAACACAGTTAGGAAAGGTACAGGAGGCAGGCCTAGTATAGGGAAGTTGGGTGTAGGGGAGAGCTGTGGTCAGGAAGTGCCCCAAGACCTGGGTGTGGGGCAGGGGAGGTAGGGAACCTATGCCCTGACCTCCAGGCAAGTGGCTCTGCTCATTGGGAGACCACTGGAAGACCAGCTAACCAGTGCTCCCCCATCTGTCTCCTTTGCCCAGGAACTGACTGGCACAATGCCGTACCAATACCCAGCGCTGACCCCGGAGCAAAAGAAGGAGCTGTCTGACATTGCTCACCGCATTGTGGCTCCGGGCAAGGGCATCCTGGCTGCAGATGAGTCCACTGGTACGGGCAGGATACAGTGGGAGGAGGGCCCAGGGTTGGGGGGACAGGCTGATCCCCTTATGACAATGTGCTACTCCTTTCCAGGGAGCATTGCCAAGCGGCTGCAGTCCATTGGCACTGAGAACACCGAGGAGAACCGGCGTTTCTACCGCCAGCTGCTGCTGACTGCCGATGACCGAGTGAATCCCTGCATTGGGGGTGTCATCCTCTTCCATGAGACGCTCTATCAGAAGACAGATGATGGGCGTCCCTTCCCCCAAGTTATCAAATCCAAGGGTGGTGTTGTGGGCATCAAGGTGAGGAGGCTGGGCCTCAGGATGAAAGATCTGAAATGAGTCTGGGGAAAAGAAATCCAAAGTAATAGGCTGGGGGGTAACATTGGGCTGGGAGCCTGGAGATTTGGGTGGAGTCAAGCCCAGGTCACATGTAAGGAAAGCTAGAAACTGTGGGCCCTGCTTGGCAGTTTTAATCCTCAGAGTTCTAAGAGCAAGGCATTACCCATCATTGTACAGATGAAAACCCCAAACACCTCAAGGCAGTGAAGTGTTTTGCTCACAGAGTTAGGAAGTAGTAGGTTCCCAGGCTCTCTGTTAAATAATATCCTCATGTATCCTGCCTCATAGGATCAGATACTGTAACTAAGTGAAAACATTGCAGACCAGGAGATAGCACCTGAAATTAGGTAAAGTTGGGGGCAGAGTAGGGCTCTGGAGAAGAGGGTAGTAGGAATTGCTTACTCGTCTTATAGTGTGGTCCAACCCCAACAGGTGGACAAGGGCGTGGTGCCCCTGGCAGGAACAAATGGCGAGACTACTACCCAAGGTGAGAACTGTTTGGCTTCCTGCCCTGTCGACCAACCCACCTGGGTTGGTGCCCTTCTAAGTGCCCAGGGTGAGTGGGAGCCACTTGCCCCCTCTGCCATGCTCTGACTTCTCATCCCCTCCCCAGGGCTGGATGGGCTGTCTGAGCGCTGTGCCCAGTACAAGAAGGATGGAGCTGACTTTGCCAAGTGGCGGTGTGTGCTGAAGATTGGGGAACACACCCCCTCAGCCCTTGCCATCATGGAAAATGCCAATGTTCTGGCTCGTTATGCCAGCATCTGCCAGCAGGTGGGCCTGCATGCCCCCAACAGTCTGGCTCCCACCTCATTTGGTTCCAGTGTTGGGTAGCCTGCCACCCATCTGCCAAGATATCTACTTCCCCCAAGGCAGCTGTTCCAGGTCCTCATCAGTCATCAGGCTTGAGCCCGTGGAGGACACTGGAGGGCTTGTGTGGGTGGATCTGAGGAGATCCTGTCTGCTACAACCTTGCAGAGCTGAGGGCTCTGAAGCCATGGAGATAAGACCTTGGCTAGTGGTTGTGGAGAGCTATAGGTAGGGCTCCAGTTTAGGAGGCCTCATAGCTACTCTGTCCCTCACCCCACAGAATGGCATCGTGCCCATTGTGGAGCCTGAGATCCTCCCTGATGGGGACCACGACTTGAAGCGCTGTCAGTATGTAACTGAAAAGGTCGGTTGCCTGCTTGCCTGGGCAGTGTGGTGGGCTAGGCAGCTAGGCCAAGGGCCCTGGGGCTGACTCCGGTCCCCCCCACCCCACTTTGGACCTGCCCTACTCTAGGTCCTGGCTGCTGTCTACAAGGCTCTGAGTGACCACCACATCTACCTGGAAGGCACCTTGCTGAAGCCCAATATGGTCACCCCAGGCCATGCCTGTACCCAGAAATTTTCTAATGAGGAGATTGCCATGGCAACTGTCACTGCCCTGCGCCGCACAGTGCCCCCTGCTGTCCCTGGTGAGGCCCATACTCTCATCTTGCCCTCTGGGAGGTAGACAAATTGTACCCACAATCTTTATACCCATTGGTCTGATTTCCAGGTCAGCTTCTAGGAACTCTAACAGTTCCCTGGGTCTCTGACTACAACCCCTCTCCCCATTTTACCCTTTGTTTTACAGGGATCACCTTCCTATCTGGAGGTCAGAGTGAGGAGGAGGCATCCATCAACCTCAATGCAATCAACAAGTGCCCCCTGCTAAAGCCATGGGCCCTGACCTTCTCCTATGGCCGAGCCCTACAGGCCTCTGCTCTGAAGGCCTGGGGTGGGAAGAAGGAGAACCTGAAGGCTGCCCAGGAGGAATACATCAAGCGAGCACTGGTGAGGATGGAGCAGGGGGTGGGCAGTGCCGGGGTAGATGGGACTTTGAGAACAGACCTTCTTACTCTGGCTCCTCTCCCCTCAGGCCAACAGCCTCGCCTGCCAAGGAAAGTACACCCCAAGCGGTCAGGCTGGGGCTGCAGCCAGCCAGTCCCTCTTCATCTCTAACCATGCCTACTAAGCAGAGGTGATCTAAGGCTGCCCCATCAACACTCCAGGCCCTGCCCACTCCCCTACTCACTCTTGAAGAAGAGGCCTCATCCGGGGCTCTAGGCTGCTCTTTCCCAGCACTCTTGCCTCCCTTGTGACATTGGTGCATGGTGTTGTCTGTGTGTGCCAACTCCAATGCCGTTTCCAGCCCACTGCCAATAAACAACTATTTAAGGGGGAGTTTCTTGTCCATGTCTATAGTGTCTGGGTCAGGGGCGGGCCTGGGGAGAGTCCAGGAGAGCAGTTTTATGTTTTTCTTGGGTAGGAAAAAGGTGAAGGGGTGGGGTAGGACTTTCCTGTTTTGTCTTATATTTGTCCAAGGCTTCAAGAGGAGAGTTTGTGAAATTTTCTACCAACCACCAGGGGCTCTTTCCCCTTCTACCAGCAGCATCAGATAAGGCTTATAGTTGGGGAGTGTGTGTATAACTGCTAGTTGTAGAAAGCTGCAGGCTCAGCCTCACTTTTAGGCCTACAGCTCAAGGGTACAGAAGGCCCCTGTGACAAAAACAGCCACTGACCACAGCCAAGATTTCCTGAGTCTGTGAGCCAGGCAACATGATAAGTGTTCTGTATGAGTATGTGTTATTCCCAATTTATGCTTAAGGCTTTATTGCTGGAGATCACACTGTTTCTTGGTGGAAATAAGACCATTAATGCATATCTCCTTAATCTACACTGTTGAGCATGTCCATTTTCCCATCTTAATAAGAAATAGGATTAGAACTGGCTTCTTAGTCTTCTTGGATTGTGGAACCCCTCGAAGAACCTGGAATCCTCTCCAACACCTCAACAATGCAGACACACACAGAACTCTAGGTGCTGCGTTCCATGAAGCCAGAATGAGGGCCCTGCACTTACCCCTATGTCATGCCTTGAACCCTTCCCCAGTCACCCAGCCTGGGGTGCAGCAGTAAATACACCAGATATTCTCAGCTGTTAAAGATCCTAGTCATAACCAGGGATGTAATATTCCTGCCACTTCCCAAATTTCCTGATACAGGCCCTTTCCTGTCTGAGCTCCCCGTTAGACAGAAAAAATAATCTTGACCTTTCTGATCTCTCTGGACCTACTAAATCCATGTAGTGATAAGCATAGAACTGATTTACCCTAGGACCTTCTAAGAGTTTAAGAACTTGGTCCATTTGCATATGTGGCCTACATACAAAATCAACCCTCTCCTAGTGCCCCTCCAAGCTTTGGCCCTCACTTCTGTGCCTACCATCAACTCTGAAACATCTGAAATAAAGCAAATGAAAATTGAAGGTGAACAGAAAATAGTGAAAAGGGCATTCCATAAGGGAGCAATGTGTGCAAGACACCGTGAAGTTTGCTTTAGGACCAGTTGCTTCCTCTGCCTGCAGCAAAAGAGACTGGGGAAGCAGAGGAACTCACCACTTTAGGGAGTTTTGGACTTGTTATGATAACGTGAGTTCCGGAATGTACAAGTGATAGGTGGAGCATAAATTAGAACTCCGCTTTCCTAGGTTCAAATTTCAACCTTGATTCCAACCCGATTGTTAGCTGTGCAAACGTGAACAAGCTATGCAACTTCTCTAAGCCAGTTTCCTCCTCTTAAAAAAAAGGAATAAAATTTGAAGACAAAAGACAGCAACTGAGGGGTGTAAAGGGGACCATTCTGGAATCAGAGGCCATACTGACTGAGGCCTGGGCTTGGTGGATTTCTGCCACCAACTTCGGAGGTCCTCCATGCAGAGATTTCTCTGTGGCCATGGAAGATTTGGGCCGAGATTCCTTGATCCACTTAAGAAATACTTATGTATGCCTGCTGTGCCAGGCCTTGTTCTAAACACTGGGGCTGCAGGGGTGAACCCCAAGTTCCAGTCATCGGGTCGTAATGGGGAAGGCCGACAACAGGTAAACAAAATCGCGCAACATAAAGTCACGGCGGAGGCCGGGCTAAGCTTCAGTTCCCCTGACCGAGACGCGATGCGACTGCCAGGGTCGCTCAGCCCTCAGAGCGGCAGCACCCTCGGTCCGCCCGCCATCAGTTCCGCCCGCACGAGGCGGACATCCGGTTCCCCGGGCTCCGCTCGGGAGGCGGGGCAAGGGTGCGGCGAGGGCGGGGAGGGTGTGTATGACGCCACTTCCGACGCGCGGCGGAACTGGCCTCCCTTTGCTTCCGCAGAGGGGCCGGAAGGAGAAGTGGCGGTGGCGGCGGCCCAAAGCGGAGGGAAAGAGGAAGGCTGGGAGCCCGAGAGCCGGAGCCGAAGTCGCAGCGGGGGTAATAGTCGGGGACCCTTCTACGCCACCGTCCCTAACGGGACCTTCGGGGTTCGACGGGACTTAGCAGGGGGCGGCCAGGGCGGTGGGACGAAGTGAGGGGAGGGTGTGTGTGTCGGGGGGTGGGCCCCCCAATCCTGGCACCCCCTGCGGACATTCTTATGCGGGCTCGCCTTCGCCTCTCCCAGGAGACCCCTGTGCGGCGCGGAGGGGCCNTCTGACCCGCGCCGGGGGGGTGGGCCATGGCGGAGATCAGCGACCTGGACCGGCAGATCGAGCAGCTGCGACGCTGCGAGCTCATCAAGGAGAGCGAAGTCAAAGCCCTGTGCGCCAAGGCCAGGTGAGCCCCCTGGCCCTGGGGAAAGGGTTCCGCTGCTCAGGGGTTCCGGCCTAGGGCAAACCCAGCCGAGAACTTTGGGCCTGGCTCATCCTGGAAACATTCCCAGAGAAGAGCGGAATGGGGCCACTTTCCTGGAGGAGAACCAGCCTTTTGGGGGAAGACAGACCTGGATAAAGATACTTAAAGTGTTAGATGATGTGTTTTCAGTGGAGTTCTAGAGTTACAGAAAGTACTTAAAGCGATCAGGGAAACAGCCTTATTGGTTGGGGGAACAGAGGCGGCTTTTGAAGGAACTGAACTTTGGGGGTAGACTTTGAAGAATACGATGATAAACGGAAATGTCAGCGAGAACAGAAGTTCAGGACAGAAAAGCTAATGACACTCTGGTTTATAAAATACTTTTAATTCTAACAACAACCCTTAAAGTTGGGTGGTATTGCCCCCGTTTTACAGATGAGGACTCTCATGTTCACAGTTAACCAGCAGCTAAGGGGTGGAGTCTGAAGCCAGTTCTCTGCGTCCTGTTCTTTTCAGGCCATAAAGCAAGGTGGAGTTGGATCACTCTTGTGTTGAGTGTGGGAGCCTAAGACATGGTAGCAAATAAGGTGGAGTAGGATTAAGCATGATATGAAAGGGGGCCCAGCTTGAGTTCTGTGGGAAGTAGGATAAGGTAGTGATTAAGATCCCAGGCTTTGGAATGTCATGGCTGTAGGTTGGAATCTGAGCTTTGCCACTTACTAGCTGTTGGTAAGATCTCTGAAACTCAGTTTTTCCATCTGTAAACTGGGAATACTACTACTTAATAAGATGGTTGTGAAGAGTCAGTAAGTTGGTAGTTGGGATGAACTTAGTGCTTTGGTACAATGTAAGTGCTCGACTTACATTGGATAATTTGGATAGCCATTGGGAGCAGGGCCAGTGAGGAAGGCATTTCAAGCAGGATGAGAGTAGGAGTGGAGGCCTGAGATATGTGGGCAACAGTGAGGGGACCAGTTACCTGCCTCCTCTGAGGTACTGTTTGACTTTGGCTTCTACCATGCTGGAGAGTTGTGGAAAAAAGCCAGCAGAATTACTCTACATTTATTGAACAGCAGGCCCACTATTAGCCTGACCTTGTACTGGCAAAGAGTTTATATCCATTTCCTCCCCACAGCAATCTTGTGAAGTTGGAATTGTTTGCTCCATTTTACATAACAGGAGGCCAGTGACGCCTAGAGGTGTAGTGACTTGACTGAGGTCACCTAGAGAGAAAGTGGTAGAGCTGGGTTCTGAACTTGTGGTTGTCAGGCTCTTTTCTTGGCTTTGCCCTGCTCCCCCAGACCTGTAGCCCCCAGACCTGGCCTGCATGGGTTTTTGGATCCAGGTCTTTTACTATACTCTATGCTCATGAACAGGCAAGGACCCTTTTTATTTTTATTTTCATTTTTTTAAATATATCTATATTGATTTCAGAGAGAGGAAGGGAGAGGGAGAAAGAGATATGGAAACATCAATGATGAGAGAGTTGTCATTGATCGGCTGCCTCCTGCAGGCCCCCAACTGGGGATCGAGCCCACACCCCAGCCATGTGCCCTGACCGGGAATGGAACCGTGATCTCCTGGATCCTAGGCTGATTCTCAACCGCTGAGCCAGTCCCGGCTGGGCAAGGCCCCTTTTTTAATGCTTGTCTGTGGCTTTTCTATGTTTTGCCTGCTTTTCTCTGTCTTGATGGCATTTTTAGGAACTTAAACCAGCTGCGTGGCACCATTCTTTTTCCCATAAGTCTTATCTGCCTCCGTAGGACCTGGGTCAATTTGGTGGTGATGATAGATAAAGCTTGGATAGTTTGGTGGAGTTTCCAGAATAACGGAGAAGTTATGTATTCAGTCTCTGTTGTTCTTTCCATAGCCCTATGGAATATGCAGCGCAGGGGTGAGTATTTCACCGACGAGAAATCCGAGTCTCAGAGAAGATAAGGTCTTGCCTGCAGTCTCACATCTAGTTGGAGGGGAGGTTGGTTTTTGGATCCAGGTCTTTTACTATACTCCATGCTCATGGACAGCCAGGCAGAGACGTTGAGGCTGTGTGAGAGGCACCCGAGGTACAGAGGATTGAGGGGTGGGAAGGTCCTAACTGAAACGGACATGGAGCTAGGAGGTACTAGACTGAGGCCTGAGTTGGTCACTATCATTCCAGGCATGGTCTGAAGGAGGGCCAACTCTAGCACTTGACCATGGCCTCCTGGTGACCCACCAGGGACTCAGGCCAAGGCTGGTAATGTTAACAGCTTCGGCTTCCTCAAAGGGTATACAGGCTCAAACCCGGGGAATTTCAGAGGCCTGAAGTGTGTGAGCTGGACTTGCTTCTATAAAAAAGTCAGCATATTTGAAGAGCAGAGGGTTTTGAATCAGGTGGTCTTCAGTATGAATTTTGTCTCTGAACAGTATGACCCCGGTCAAGTCACTTTACCTTTCCAAGTCTTTGGAATCTTTATGAAACTCAAATGAGATTCTTTGTATCAGGACAGGCCCTGGCACTTTCGTAAGCACTTACTAAAGACAGTGTTAGTTGTGGAAGTAAAGGTGAGCAGGTGTGAGCCCTGAGAGGGTTGGTGATGTACTGCAAGTGACAGAGATGGGTTGGAGACTGGGCCTCACTTCCAGACCTGCTGGGGCCCTACTGGCACTGAGGTGAGGTTTTGACCTGGAGTCTGGAAGAGGCTGGCATAAGTTCTCAGGAAGCTGGGCTCCTGTGTTCCGTTTCAGACACTCTCCAGCTTGGTGACCTTGACCCTGCCCCTTTTTCCTCTAAGCCTTGGTTTCTTTACCTGTCAGATGAGGATGGAAAGCAGCGCCCCAGGTCAGTTGGAAAGGTTGATGAGCAGTTGATGTGGAAGGATGTTCAACACGAGGTGCATTGCAGGTGGGAGAGCCTGGTTGCTGCCTGGCCCCCCTCCCCACAGCCAGTGCCTTGTCCCTCCCATTCACGTAAGGCCAAAGTGCACCTCCCTGGGACTGTCTCTGTCATGCAGAACGCCCCAGGGACCTAATCTCCTAGGAGGAGACTGGCAGAATGAGGGTTGAGCAAGTGCCTGGGCCGTATCAGAGTGGCCTGATGAAAGTGCCTGGAGCCAGGCTGCCTTGATTCAAGTCCCACCTATAAGACTTTGACCATTTTCTTAGTCTGAGAAGTAGGAATCATCATAGTTCTTGCCTTTGAGAGTGATGGTTTGATTGCATGCATCATCCGTGCAAAACTCATACTAGAGTCCTGGCCCATGGTATGAACTGGAATGTTCACTGCTGCCGATACCAAGGATGAAATCTGGAAATCTGGTACTACTAAAATCGGGTGTCTGAACCTGACAGTGGTTTTGTGTCATGCTCACTCAAGTAGAAGTAGACTGCACTGCAAGGAGAGATAAAAGAACAAGTCCTCACTTCCTCTAAATCAATAATGAAAACGGCAGCAACAACGTATCACTTTGAAGATCACTTTGATGACTGGCCTGCCCAGGGCAAGCCCCTGAGTGTCTTTGGACAGCCTGGGAGAAGGCCCCTGTGATAGGCAGAGAAGGACTCTAAGGTCTCCGCCAAGGGCACAGTCTTGGAGCACTCCAGACTGAGTGATCAGAGGAGGTCTGTTTTCTGGGAGTGCGGGGTGCATGAAAGGAAGTAGCGGAGGGTGGGGGTTGGGAGGTCAAAGCTGGGAAAGTCAGAGCCTACTTGGAAAGGCTTTGAAAGCTGGAATGAGAGTTTGGGCTTTGGCCTGTTGGCAGTGGGGGAACCACGGAAGGGTACTGAGCAGTGGGGGCTGTGGTCAGCCTTTCCTGGGGAAATTGCACACCTCACTTCTGTCCTGTAGAGGTTCAGGCACCGCCACATATCCTCCCCTCCCCCCACAAAAAAGATCAGGAATTGGGCTGGGCTGGCCTGGCTTGGTGACCCTGTTCTTCTGTCTCCAGAGAGATCTTGGTAGAGGAGAGCAACGTTCAGAGGGTGGACTCGCCAGTCACAGTGAGTACCTCTGTCCCTCCAGGGCCTATCTTGGTCTATTAGGTACATAGACATTCCCTGTAGTCTTGTGGGCTCCCTCATCCCTGGGAGCCCCATCTTCAAGGGTCCCTCACCATAAGAAATAGAAGTTATGCGAAGGGTCTTTTGATTTGTTGGGGGATACTCTTGGCCAGGGCAGAAGGACTCTTTATTTTGGTAAGTGATTCTTTTCTACGTGTTTCTATATGTTCTGTGTTATCAATAACTTCATTCTGGGTACCTTGAGGGGAGTAGGGAAAGGAGGGGCCAGGTCCTCTAGGAACTGCAGGTCTAGCTGGAAAGACCTGGTTTTAGCTCTTGCCCTAAGAATAGTTGGCATTCAGTGTGGGATGGAGGTTGATTCCAGACCAGGCTAACTTGGGGTGGGAGAGTAGATTTTTGGCCCTGAGAAGTAGAGGCTTAGCTAAGAGTGATAATTTGAAGACAGCCCCTGGGAGCTGAGGCTTTCACACTGAGTTCCCATCCACCTTTTCACTTCCAGGTATGCGGTGACATTCACGGACAATTCTATGACCTCAAGGAGCTGTTCAGAGTAAGTGTGGGTAAACACTGGGGAAGGTGACCTGGAGGGTGATGGAAGGTCCCTTTAAAGGGAAGACTTTGAATTTGGTGAGTGGAGTGGGGGCAAGAGGCCTTTAGTCTGGTGGGCCCTCTGTGAAAGAAGGGCTTCAACTTGATTGGGTAGGCGACAGTTTAGGACCTTTTCCCTCCCCTCAGGTGGGTGGCGACGTCCCTGAGACCAACTACCTCTTCATGGGGGACTTTGTGGATCGTGGTTTCTACAGCGTTGAAACGTTCCTCCTGCTGCTGGCACTTAAGGTAGGAACTGCTGTCTTCTGGAGCCCAAACCAGGGCCACTTCAGGCCTGACCTGTCTGCATCCCTCCTCCCCTCCTCTCCTGCTCCATCCACTCCCAACTCTGAGCTGTGCTGCTGGTGATAACAGATTCTGCTTGGCAAGGGTGGTCACAGAAGCTTTCCTTGACTTGGGGGCACCTGATTGGGCCCCTGGAGGATGAGGTCAGAGGGGTGGCATTGTAGGGGAAAGAATAGAGACTCATTGTGTTCAGAAAGTGACAAGAAGTTGAGTTCAACTGGATACAGCACACTGGTTGGGGAGAGGTTATAAGGGGCCAGATGACAAAGCGCCTTGAATGTTTTGCTAAGGACTTGGACTCTATCTGGTAGGTAAAAGAGGAGCCATTAGGTTCATAGTTGATGGGGGAAAGGGGATCAGCTTTGTATTCTCTGGAGGAGGGACTGGGAGCCTGTGAGGCGGGTGCAACACCATTTGGGCAAGATATGACGTGAATGTGGGCCAGGGCAGTGGTGGTGAGGATGGAGTGGGGCTGGCAGATGTGAGATCTAGGAGGGAGAGAGAGAGCCTAGACCCCAGCCCTAGCTTGGTGGTTACTTCCAGGTTCGCTATCCTGACCGAATCACCCTGATCCGGGGCAACCACGAGAGCCGCCAGATCACCCAGGTTTATGGCTTCTATGATGAGTGCCTGCGTAAATATGGCTCGGTGACTGTGTGGCGCTACTGCACTGAGATCTTTGACTACCTCAGCCTGTCAGCCATCATCGATGGCAAGGTAGGCTGGCCACAGGGCTCCATGGGGATGGGAGAAATGGAAGAGGTGGTGGACCTTAGCCTCCCTTCCCTCTTGCCTTGCTCTCCCCTGTAGATCTTCTGTGTGCACGGGGGCCTCTCCCCCTCCATCCAGACCCTTGACCAGATCCGGACGATTGACCGAAAGCAAGAGGTGCCTCACGATGGGCCCATGTGTGACCTGCTCTGGTCTGACCCTGAAGGTGAGGGCAGGTGGGGGAGGCACAGCCAGACTTTACCCTTAGTTTGACGAGAAACTAAGGGAGTCCTTGGGTTAAAGCAAGTACCTTGAAGGGACAGTCAGACCAAGTATGTTTGGGGACGAGTAGAGTGGGCTGATCTTTACTGGGTCTGTGCTTGATCTGCAGACTGACTGGCACCCTCAGCAGCAGTGGGGGTAGCTGGTGCTCTGAGCTCTGACGAAATTAGGGCCTGTGTATCAGAGGCTTATTTAGGACAAAATCATTGGCTCCCTGAATGCAGAGGGGCTTCTGCAGAGGTCAGATGCCTGGAATGATAGGCCCCTGAGGACCCCTCATTTTGTGGGGCTCCTGAGCTAGTATGGAGCAGAGCTGAGGTTGAAATCCAAGTTTCCCAGGTACATGTCCAGGGCTCCTGTTATAATACATACAGCCTCTGCTCTCACTGCGATGCCTGACTGACCTGTTACTCACCCAGACTAGCTGCAACAGCCCTTGTTCACACCTGCTGTGCTGGTGTGGTCTTAGGAGCACCTCCTTTCACTTGTCTGTGTACCTATTTGGACAGTAAGTTGCATGCTTGCTCAGATTATGAGGTGGCTCCAACTGTCAGCAAGCCTTTCTTCATTAAAGCTTATCTGCTCCCACATTTGCTGTCCTGTCCCCCAAGCCCCCCAGAACACAATCAGGCCTTGTCCTCTTGCCCCACAGGCCTGATTAGGGGAGGGGGACAGGATATTCTCTTTTGAAGGGCAGTGGGCAATCAGATGCCTTGAGGACACCTCTCCCCATCTTTGCCTTCATTTGCCTCAGACACAACAGGCTGGGGTGTGAGCCCCCGTGGGGCTGGCTACCTATTTGGCAGTGACGTGGTGGCTCAGTTCAATGCAGCCAATGACATTGACATGATCTGCCGTGCCCACCAACTGGTGATGGAAGGTTACAAGTGGCACTTCAATGAGACTGTGCTCACTGTGTGGTCAGCACCCAACTACTGCTACCGGTGAGCTGCCTGGGTCGGGGTCAAGATAGGGGTGGGGATCTAGGCTGACACACTCTAACTGCCACCCTCCGACTTTCAGCTGTGGGAATGTGGCCGCCATCTTGGAGCTGGATGAGCATCTCCAGAAAGATTTTATCATCTTTGAGGCTGCTCCCCAAGAGACAAGGGGCATCCCCTCCAAAAAGCCCGTGGCCGACTACTTCCTGTGACCCCTTCGGCCCCTGCCTCTACTCCAGCCCCTCTGGCCCTTGGACCACTGTGACTCTACCCTCTTCTCCAGATGGAAGCTGGGCATGGGGGGGCTGTCCCCGGCTCTGCTCTCCCCTCAAAGAGGGCACTTGGAGGGTGAGGACTTTCTCTGGAGAGGCTTGGGGCCTCAGCTCCTTGCTCCTCTCCTTTCTCCCCACCTGAACTATGAAGTTTCCAATAATTTTTGTTTTTCTTTTCCTTTTTTTTGGTTTGTTTTTAGATAAAAATTTTGAGAAAAAGAAAAAATTCTAATAGAAGAAATATGGTCTTTGGATTTGTGTCAGACTTGATTGGGGATGAGTAGTGATGCTGGCCTGGGACCTGGGATGGACCCCACCAGGAAGGTGAGGCTCAGGCCAGTTCACTTGCCCAGAGCCTCCTGGTCCCCATCCACTGACAATGACTGCTCCTGAGGGCTTCCTGAGTGCTAAGTGAAGGGCCAGGTTCTCGGAGATGGCCCTGTTTAATTCTCAGAACAGTGAGTGTCAGGACATTGATCCCCCCATTTTCTTGAAGAGTAACCAGGCCCAGAGCAAGTGGATTTACACGCACAAGATCAAGCAGCTGGAAATGGCAAGTCTAGGTCAGGGGCCAGGGTCTCCCCACAAAACCTTTGCTCACCCAGTCCCTCCCAGTGCCAAACACCATTAGCCCAATGTTTCCAGAGCACCGATATCTTTTGAGTTTTATTAACAAAAGTACTCTGGTTCTGAGAACAGACTGGTGTGGCTCGCACTGGAGCAAGGCAATATGACTAGCTAAGCACAAGGGTGAAGCCCAGGATTTGGTAGTGCTGGTCCAAGGCCCCATTTGGTCCGGCAGAGCCTCCCTCTATTCACACTGAGGTGAGAGCCTGGAAGGGGAAGCTGGCCCCAGCTGGACTCCCAGCAGCTTAGCCAGAGCTTTGAAGCCAGAGGGGGGTGGGAATGAAGTCAAAGTGTGAAGTGGGGTGGAGGAGAGGCCCAAGGCAGCCATTTGGTGTGGGGGATGGGGTCAGTGGAAGTGAGGGGGCTACAGCCTGGGGGAAGGGAACTGGAAATTTGTGATGGAAGACGGAGGGAGGGAGGCAGAGGGCGCCTAGCAGTGGCTCAGTACATTGGTTTGGAGCCCACATCCAGGTAGGCCCCAGGCCCAGGGTAGGGTAAGGGCAAGGGGCCCCCTTGGAGGAAATGTGAGGCAAAGGGTGCTGGGTGTGCAGTTGCTGGGTATCCTGAGCCTCCTGGCCCAGACTGCAGCTCTAGGAATGCAGCTGAGTAGGGGGCTGGGTGCCCAGAATCTGGAGCCTGAGGGAAGCTGGGGTTCCTGAAGTGGAAAAAGGTGTGAGAATGGAAGAGGGACCTCCAGACTGGAATAGCCCAGTGTTGTGCCCTTGTCCCACTCACCTGGTTGGAAGGTGACTGGGGGCCCCATGGAAAGCAGCAGGGTGCAGAAGGTAGGCCTCGGCACTGGAGCCACCACATGGAGGAGCTGGGGCAGGGGCAGCTTCCCTGGACGCTGGGGCGTGCTCTGAATCTGACTCACGAGCATCCCCACCCAGTGTGGAATCGCAGGGACCACCTGGTGGATCTGGGGAGGCAGAAGAAACAGGTTGGGCTAAGGATGGTCAGCGTCTCAGGCCTGGTCTCATTATCATTGATACCACTCACCTCCACTCCCATAGGCCTCTGTGGCTACTGGCTCTGGGCCCCGCAGTTTTCTCTTAACACGGGCATCTCGCTCCCTGGGAAATACGAGTTACAGTAGCATTTACCAGGTGCCAGATATTCACCCTACCAGGTGTCATTACTGTACCCATTTTTCAGATGAAGGAACTGAAGGCCAGAGAATTAAATGACTAGGAAGTAGCAAAGCTGGGACTTACTCCCCACTTAGAATTTTCCAGGGGTTTCCTATTGCATTTGGGATCAATGGAAACTTCCCCACGCTACAGGCTCATCCCACCCTGCCTGCTCTGGCCCTTCACTAGTTGCCTTTCAGCCTTTTCTGTTCCTCATTTACCTGTGTAACTCCTCCTGGTCTCTGTTCAGGGACAACTTGCTCAAGGAAGTCCTTTGACTTCTCACAGCACCACATGCCCTCCCGATAACATTTGTCAATAGTTACACTGTTAATATTTGTTAAGGTAACCTTTTGATTGTCTCCCTCTCCTGCGTGGAAGACAAGGGCCGGCTCACAGAGCTGTACTCAGAAAAGCCAAACTCCTAACCAAACCTTTACTGTTCAGCATCTGTTTCCCTGTCACCTCACTCCACTGCAGGCACAGCCCCATGTCGGGAACACGCTGGTGCTTACCTCCATGCGCTGTTCCCAAATGCCCACGTGGTTCCCTCCCACATTCCTGTCAAGTCTTTGTCTCTTCTCAGTGAGGCCTTTTCAAGCCTCTTGCCTAATAAATAACTCACTCCAGTTCTGTCTTCCTTGCTTTATTTTATCTTTAGAACTTATCCCTAACATCTATTTCTCATGTTTGTCTGTCTGCCCACCAGAGTATTAACTCGGGATGGGGCTTTTGTCTGTCTTGTTTACTGATGCCTCTCCAGTGCCTAGAATTGTGCCTGGCACATAGGAGCTAAATAAGTACTTGTCAAGTCAATGAATAAATGTTTTTACTTACCATTAAATGTTCATTAATTGCCCACTACGTGCCACAGTGGGCGATTAACAAACATTTGCTGAATGAGTGAGTGAGTGAAAGGTGCCCACCTCTTACAGTTTCTGCCGTTCTCCCGGAAACCCTTAGCAAAGGGGTTGGCTGCAATCTTCAGCTGTGTGATCTGGGGGCACACATTCAGAATCAAAGCTCCTGCAGCCTAGGCAGGGTACCACCCCCCACGCCCCTCAAGCAGGGTCACTCACACGCGGGTTCTGGTAGGCTGTCACGGAGATGAACATGGTCTCAGGGAAGCGGAAGGAGGCAACGCCCCCCCAGTGTTGGCTGCAAAGCTGCGTGGCCCGCACTAGGTGTACGCGGGGCTGATACTTGTGCATGGAGTGCAAGATCAGCTGGGAGGGAAGAAACAGGAGTGACCCCTTGCCCTGAGCTCTAACCCCAACCCCCAGCCTGGGTCCCAGCCTGGGCCTCACGTGGCCATGGGGGTCCAGTGTGCTGTTGGTGAGCTTGACACGATGGAAAGACACAGGCTGCCGCATCCAGTGCGCACCAGTCGCGGGAGAGTCAGGGTGAATGTAGACACGGTCAGGCAGGCGAGGCTCTGCCTTGCCACTGGGCTCCCAGCGCCGGCCCTGCCAACGGTAGCGAGCCCCGTCCACTGGCACCACATCCAGGAGGAACAGGTAGCGGGCCTCGGGGTCCAGGCCAGTGACTGATACTCGGCAAGCAGGGAACATGCGCCTGGATGGGGGAGAGGACGGGAGAGGCCTGGAGCCACCAAACAGCCAGAGGCAAGCACAGCACTGGCAAGGGTGCAGAGCCACCCGCTCACAGTTTTGTCAGAACCTTAGAGCTGGAGTTAGAGCTGAGGGTAGGGTCTGGAAGCTTGTTTCATCTCATTTTATAGATAGGAAACATGAGAGACAGGTTAGGTGATCTGACCAGGGTCACACAGCAGGTTGGAGCAGAGCTCGTGCTCCTGACCCCTGGCCCTTCAAACTCCATTGCAGAAGCAGAGGCGATACACTTTTCTGGAAATCTTGGCAGGAGCCTCCTCGCGCTCTACCTTGATCTCACCAGATCTCCAGCACCAGAATCTACTGCTGCTGGAAAATCTTGCTTCAGACTAAAACAAACAAAAAACCCCACCCTCACCCTGGCTCTTGTGACTCAGTAGTTGGAGCATTGGCCCACACACTGAAGGGTTGCCGGTTTGATTCCTGGTCAAGGGCATGTACCTGGGTTGCAAGCTCGAACCCCAGTCCCAGTTAGGGTGCACGCAGAAGGCAACCAGTCCATGTGTCTCTCTCACATTGCTTGTTTCTCTCTCCCTCTGCCTTCCACTCTCTCTAAAAATCAATGGAAAAAAATGTCCTCAGGTGAGGATTAACCAACAACAATAAAAAAAGCCGTGCTTTCAGCGGGGCAGAAGACACCATGCTAGGGCTTGAGCTCGAGCTCCTGGCCTAGAAAGACCACCACAAGACCACCCACTGGCCATATCCCTGCCTCTGGGGTGACCCTGGATCTAGTCACATCCTGACAAACCCTAACACCCTGATCCTAACCAGACTTCCCTGATGTTGGTCACTGACTCTATAGTCAGACCCTAGTCTGGCCCTTGATCCTATAGCCTGAACCCCTACTCCAGCCACAGACTGACCCCTTGGTTTAGGCCACATACTAAGCTATAATCCAGCCAGACTTTCTGACCATGGCCCAGGCTGACCTATGACTGTTGCCATAGGTTGGTTCCTAAGCCAGCCACGACTCAACAGACCCTTGCCACAACATGACCCCTGATCCAGTCACTGAGTAACCCCTGACCCAGGCCACGATCACATTCTGAACTCAGGCAGAGCTCTGGCCCCCCTAGAAACCTTCAAACCTAGCCCCATCACCAGGAACTCTGCCTTTCCCAAGAGACCCCCACCAAGAACATACTGGGTCCTGTGACCCTGGCCCAGCCCCCTCACCTCCCAGCTTTGGTGATGATCATCTCTGTTCCCACAGAATTGAACTCTTTCCACAGCTCCTGGTTCTCCAGGCTCAGGCTGACTCCAGGGAGTGAATGAAGGGCCTCTGGGGCTGGAGGAGACGGCTCAGTGCCCAGGGCTGGGGGCAGAGGGGGCAGAGGTGGAGCAGCCAGGGTTCGAGGAGCAGCCTCAATCCCAGAGAGGAAGCAATCCAATTTGGGAGTGTCCAAATCTGGAGATGGGGGGAGAATGAGGAGCCAGCCCAGGGCCACAGCAACCCCCAATCCCTACATAGGAGCTCGTCCCAAAGCTCACCAGGGTAGCGGTAGCCCTCTCCCAGGGCAGGCGGGAAGCTGGAATCGGTCACTGGCTGGGGGGGCCCAAGGCGGTAGCCAGTCCCCAGGGAGGGGTACAACTCTCTTGGATGATACATGGAGTAGTCCTGTCTGGCCTCAGGTCTCGCTGCCTAGAGTCCCCTGGTGCTGAGAGATGCCCCCTTTATAGCTCACAGCTCAGCCCCTTCCAGACCCAGGATCACAGCCCCTCCCTCTTTGGGGCCCTGGAGTTGGGCTAGGGTGGAGACCCCTGGGGCCTGGAAGGGGTACAAGAGGGGGCCGGATACCTGGGTACCCTCCCCTTCTCCCCTCCCCGCCAGGCTTCATTAGCCTCGACCCCCTGCCCCCTCATTACATAATTAACTCCTCGGCCTGATTGATCCCCGGGGCTTGGACAGGGACGCAGTTTGGCGCTTCCGGCCAGCTGGTCCCCGTTCCCATGGGGGGAGCCCCAGCTAGGGATAAGCTACTGAGGGGGTGGGGCCTGGACCCTGGGATGGAGCCTGGAGTCTTGGGGCAGACCTTGGCACCTCAGACTTTCCTGGCAG